GAGAACGCGTGCGACCAATTGGACTCGCCCCGAACTATTTCTAGTGGTTCTCGCCGCCAAGAATGGCGCCACCGATCCTGAACTCGGATCGGATATCGGTCGGGTACCTCAGTCTCGTCGGTTCCCGTCGAGGGTTCGTTTTCGTCTGATGACAGGCGTCGGATCATGTTGATTTGATGGGCGTTCGTGGTGAGGCGAGGCGCCGGCTGGGTGCGCATGCGCACCGCCAGTCTCATTGGTATCGTCTGAGGTTTGGGGTGGGCCAATGTGAGCACCACCTTACAACTGTCAAAGTGCATTCACGCTCCGACCGCCGCCTGCCACGGAATGCCTATCAGAACATCATACGCCTGTACATCCAGCACGATCACGTCACACAAACAATGCACCCGCCCCACCCGTATGGGCACATTCATTATTCGCCCTTTACAATGAATATTATCTTCCGTAGCGGATATATACAGTTCATCCGGGCGGAGGGTCTGAACCTGTCCTTCCCTTCCCAACTGTTTCGTTAATCTCCAAGAAATGGCAACCGCTGATGATCCCGAGTCTAGGATGGCGGCCGAGGGGTTTCCCCAGACCTCACAAGCACACTCTATGCTTTTCCAGGTTATAGGATAGGCCCGGAGGAATACCTCGGGTTTTTCCGAGGCGGAATCTACGGTCTGGATCATCCCTATCCGGTTGGCTTCATGCACCTCTGAGGTCGAGGGTTGTGGTTCCTTGTTGGCAGGTGGGTCCCATAGGACCGTTTTTTTGCCCTTTCAACTTTTCTCGAATCGGCGTCTGTTTTTGAGGCACCGTTCGATCAACTTTTCGTTAGCCGCTTCAGAAATCGTTAGCAGATATGGAATAGGGACGGGGATCCGAAGATCCAAAGCCTTCAAGGCATCCAATACGTCGATATGGCCATCCTTGTATTCAGGAGCAGGTACCGCAAGATCTTCGAACCCTGGTCGCCATGGCCCGAGGTCGCTTTCCTCGGTAATCCGTTGGACGTGACGTATCACTCCGATGGCCCCGGGTTCGAACATCGCTGCTGCCATATACTCATTAGGTCCTATCTCAGTGGCCGCAGGGGTCACCATCTCAGTCGTTCCTGTGTCCATTACTGTGGCTACCCTCCCCTGTCCTGTAGCGGTGGGAGCAGCCCGTGGGATTTGGGAAGGTCCGGTAGGACCGCCCTGAGTTCGGGGTCTCGGACAATCTTTCACAAGGTGGCCTGGCTGATTACAGTTATAACAGCGTAGGGGTGGGACAGCCCCGGCCACGGCCGGTCTTATCATAGGGGCTCCGGTTGCCATAGCCGCCTGTTGCTGTTGTGCGGCGGCTATGCGTTGCCGTTGCAGACCTTGCACAAACTCTGTCAACGGGGCTACTACTGTAACTAGTTGGGCCGCGACTGGTGCGATGTGATCAAATCTATCGAGAAATTTCCTCTGGAAGGCTGCCCAATTAGTGAAGGGGTTTTGTCCGTACCACTCAAAAGCGGTTCCGGCTAACCTTTCGGGGATTCGTTCTTGGAGCAACTGGTCCGACCAGCCCTGGGCTTTCAAGACCGCTAGCCAGGTGCGAGGATCGGTGTCCCCGCGTGGTTGTCGTCGTCGTTTGCACCCACGATTCTGGGTTCCACCATCGCGGGAGCCGGGTCTCGAGCCCGGCCCCTCAAAAATTCGGAGCCAGCGTACTCAAAAATTCGGAAATTCCAGCCTACTCAAAAATTCGGAAATTCCAGTAAAAAGATCAAAAAGAAAAAGGAGAAACTTTAAAATAGGGCAATCGTCCTAGAAAAACCTCGGAGCCAAAAACGAATCAGCTCTGATACCAACCTCACGCCCCCTCGTGGCTTCCCGTATGGGGTCGCCGATCAGAGTACTAGGAGGGGCGTGGCCGAGGATTTTTGGCCGCAAGGGTTGAGTCTCCCGGACGGAACGGGAGGCTCTCGTTTCGTGGCCGAGGTTTTTCTCATAGTCGAACTGTCGTCGCAAAGTCCCGTGGGGGTCAGATTACTTCGAAACGATAAAATCAGAAGCATTTCTGTGAAAATGAATTGTCGTCGTGCATCGGGACAGGAAAAGGCATCAAGGGGAGGGGGCCATGGCGGCGGAAGACAAAACTTCGACCGTAAGGGGGTTGGGGGATAGGTGGTGGGTTCGAAGCCTTCAGGCCTCATCATCGCTTTCACAAAGTGTCTGAACCCTCGGGTCTTTTGCCGTAGAGGTGGTTGGTTCGAGGCCATCAAGCCTCGGCGTCGGACTCATAGAGTCCGCGCAAAAGTTTCCGGGAGGGTAAAGCGGCAGGAGGACTCGCCGGCATCTGAATTCGAAATTGCGCGGGCAGCGCCTCCACACTACGGGAAAGTTCGGGGAAACGTGTCGCTCCCTCGTAACCTAGGACCAGTCGTCGCCACGAGCACGAGTCCCCCTGGCGACACCAGCGACAATCAAACTGCGGTCACCACGCATCGTGAGCGGCCGACCAGGGCAACACCGTTAAGCCCGTATAAGGCAATATCAGAGTCAGGGAATCAAAGCGATCAATCAACACAAACCCGTTCCCCCTTATCTCACAGGCCCGCGGCGGGTCTTGCCAACGCACTTGCTTCGTCCGCCTCAGCGCGCGCCGTACGTCCGCATCGCAGTAGACACTGTCGTCATCTGTTCTGGGGAAGGTCGGTAGCGAAATGAGACGATCGGAGGTACGTGATGAACACGGGCAAGATCACGCGTTCCCGGTCATCCGAGCCAACACCGAATCCATACAACAATCGTCGCAACTTTTCTCTCTAAAAAAAAAAGGGTGCGTAGGGGAAAGATGACAAAATCTAAGCTTTCTCCCCTTGGCAGGGGCGTCGACCGTCCGCGCGGACGCAGACGGTCGACGTCACTGGTACAGGGATGATAAGCTCTAAAAGCGATGACTGTCAGTTCCGAGGAAGGCGATCGAGGAAGGGAAAAAGGGAGAGAGAGAGTGAGAGAGTGAATTACGCYGAGACCGCGCGAGAGCGCAGGAAAGACCACGAAGGGGAGGGGAACAACCGGATCAACACACTCATACTCCTAAGCAGACGGTCCCCCAGTTCAGTTTTCCCATCCCCGCCCGGACAAGTACATAGACGCATACATGCACGCAGTCAGCAGCCCTTGACAGGACATCTAATCATCCATGGACCTTTGACGTCGCTCATGCGCATAACCAGCACCCTTTACTCGGGGCTTCACACACATGACATGCATAGACAAAGCAGCAATGGAGATAAAAGCGAGTCCTTCTTGTGCACAAAAAATTCAATTAACTGCCGCCCCCAGGCGCAGCCTTCAAAACTCCCCAAGACCACCGACCACCCTAGCCACAAGGCCCTGCCCCAGCCGGCGTCCAATCCCCACCACTGCTCAGTCCCTCCGACCGCTTCGCCCCGAGACTACCGCGGGGTCCACCCCACGTCGTCACTCCGCCTGTCCTTGGGCTCGTCGAGCCTGTTCGGCGCCGCGGACTCTCGCGCATAGCTCGCGCAGCATTGCACCCGAGATCGAAAAGAGAAGGAGAGGAGAGGGTTGCACAAATTTATAGCACGGGAGGCGGCGGGTTAATAGCGCGAGGTGCGAGCAGCGCAGGGTGTAGATGAGCAGGACAGGAGAGAGAGGTGGGGAGTTAGAGGGTTCGACCCGCGGGATTGCATGACTACG